CACACACACTCTCACACACGCACTCACTTATAGAGACAGGAACATTAAAATAGGCAGAGACTATGACGGTTGAGGGGAAAAATAAAAACTCAGACTCCGGACATCAGAGAGAGAAAAATATTGAGGACGGTGGGCAAGAGTTTGGGAAAAAGTAAAGAATTAAGGGAGAGAGGTTAATAAAATGACAGTGGGAGAGAATATGGAGAGGGGAGCAGAAGGGGAGAGAAAGAGGGTCAGAGGGAGAGAAAGGGACGGGGGGAGAGAGGGCAGAGGGAGACAGAGGAGGCCAGAGAGAGAGAGAGGGAGAAAAGGATAGAGAAAGAGGAGCAGAGAGATGGGAGGGGGGCAGAGAGAGGGGAGAGAGGAGAGAGGAGAGAGGAGGCAGAGAGATGGAGGAGGTAGAGAGAGAGGACAGCGACAGAGGGCAGAGAAGGATAGAGAAAGGGGACAGAGGGTGAGAGATGAACAGAGAGAGGGGCAGAGGGTGAGAGAACAGAGAGGAGGCAGAGTGTGAGAGGACAGAGAGGGGGCAGAGGGTGAGAGGACAGAGAGAAGGGGCAGAGGAAAGGAGGACAGAGAGGGGGCAGAGGGTGAGAGGACAGAGAGAGGGGGCAGAGGGCAGTATGGCATGGATAATGTAGCACTTGTTGTGATCCCAGTAGGTTGAAGAGCGAGTGAGGAGCAGATGAGGGGGTTCAAAGAGAGAGGGAGAGGAGCAGAGGGGCTGGAATGACCCATGGAATGATATGGAAATGTCCAATCACGGGAGGAGTTGGAGGAACTGACTGATTACATTGGGATCTACTGAAAAGAGAAAGGGACTGGGTGGGTCAGGTGGGGGTGGGTAAAGGAGGTGAGAGTAAAGGAAAAGGCCAAGGGGAGGGAGAGAGACAGAGAGAGAGAGAGAGAGCTCAGTGAGGTAGAGATAGAGAGTGAGAAAGAGAGAGGGGGGTAATGGAGGGAGAGACACAGAGTCAATGGGAAGGGTAGGAGGATGTGAGGGTGGAGTGCGGAATCAGAGAGGGGAGGGTTACTGGGGGGAGATGTCAGTTTCTGCTCTTTACCACGGGAAAATGGTGTGTCAGTACCAGAGGGATTTGTGTGTGTGAGAGAGAGAGAGAGGCAGAGGATAGCCCCTATACCTCTCCCCACCCTGATGCTGTTTGACTGATCCCCACGATCGGTCCTGCCACTAATCTGGAAAAGGAGCTCGGTAAATGTCAGTAAGAAATGTGAATAAAAGTCCCAGAGGAACTCCAGGCAGGAGCAAGTTTGAAACCACCCCCCATCACGCCCGCGGACTGTGGAAATTCCAAAGTGCTGCATATAAAACAGAATGAGCTCAGTCACTCAGTTTCACAAGGAGCAATACTGCTACAGGGCACACGTACACACACAGAGAGAGAGAGAGAGGGAGAGAGAGGAGGGGGAGAGACCGAGCCTGTTCACTGCTGTGGTGAGTACCGATGCTGGCTTCTCTTGGACAGATTATAGCCCTGCTACACTTTGCTGCGAACTCCGTTCCTTTGCCAGTTTCTGACTGTATCTGTGTTTCTGAAGAAACCACCAGGTTAAAGTGATGTTTGATTCGCGTGAATGTTCCCCACTCCCCTCCCATCTCCCTCCTTCACTCCCCTCTCCCTCAGTCAGTCTCCCTCCTTCACTCCCCTCTCCCTCAGTCAGTCTCCCTCCTTCACTCCCCTCTCCCTCAGTCAGTCTCCCTCCTTCACTCCCCACTCCCTCAGTCAGTCTCCCGCCTTCACTCTCCTCTCCCTCAGCCTGTCTCCCTCCTTCACTCCCCTCTCCCTCAGTCAGTCTCCCTCCTTCACTCTCCTCTCCCTCAGTCAGTCTCCCTCCTTCTCTCTCCTCTCCCTCAGTTACTCCCCCTCCTCCCCTCTGCCTCTCCCTCAGCCTGTCTCCCTCCTTCACTCCCCTCTGCCTCTCCCTCAGTCTGTCTCCCTCCTTCACTCCCCCCTCTCTCTCCCGCAGTCTGTCTCCCTCCTTCACTCTCCTCTCCCTCTCCCTCAGTCTGTCTCCCTCCTTCACTCCCCTCTCCCTCCATCTCCCTCAGCCTCCCTCTCCCTCCGTCACTCCCTCCCTTTTCCTCCCTCTCCCTCTCCTTCCTTCACTCTCTCACTCTCGCTCAGTTTCCCTCTTCCTTCCTTTCCTCCCTCCCTCATAATGAACGGGACCAGTGACATTATAGAGGTTTATAAAATCATGAGGGGCATGGATAGGGTGAATGGTCAAGGTCTTTTCCCCCAGGGTGGGGGGAGTCCAAAACTAGAGGGGCATAGGTTTAAGGTGAGAGGGGGAAAGATTTAAAAGGGACTTGAGGGGCAACTTCTGCACACAGAGGGTGGTGTGTGTATGCCAGAGGGAGTGGTGGGAGCTGGTACAATTACAACATGGATGGGTGTACAAATGGGACTAGGTCAAATTGAGACATCAGGTCGGCATGGACAAGTTGGATCGAAGAGTCTGTCTCTGTGCTGTATGGCTCTATGACTCAAAGTGATGATGAATGGAGACAGTGGTGTGTCTGTCTCACACACTTGCACGCGCACACACACACATACACACACACAGTCATGCAGTCACACAGACACAAACACACACACACAGTCCTGCAGTCACACAGACACACACACACATACACACAGACAGACACATGCAGGACATGTGTGCCCCACTCTGCAGGACATTGACGGGATATTTCCTGACAGTGTAAGACATGCCGCTTGTGAAATGTGCTGGTTTTCAGGAGGATGTGAATACCGCTTGCATGGCCTGGTTCACTGACAGCACTGACCATGAACGATCTCACTGAGAGAGCCTTGTTCTCACAGAGCAACTGGGGTGTCTGGCTGACAGGAACGTTTCCCATGTTTGGGGATATGGAGGAGGGTGGAGAGGTGAAAGGGACTGAAGCAAGTTGTGACCAAAACCGGAGTTATAAATAGCCTGGCGTCTGAGTCAGACACTTTGCATGTGGCTGACATTTGAGTGAGGAAAGCTGCGAGGGATTAATTATGTTGGCCCCAAACGTCATGGGGAGTTTTTGTCTGTCATTGCAGTCAGTCAGAGGGTGACAGAGATCGGGGAGCTGCTGATGATGGACAAGTTTCAATCTGATGAACTGAAAATTTGGTTATTAACCAGCCCTGTATCCCATTACTTTCCCATTACTCAGGGTGAAACCGGGAAGTTCCAGACCTGCTCGGCAATGAACTTATTGTTTCTGAAACACGTGGACACCTTCCTGAGGGACCCGAGGGTTTCATTGTCTTCGGAGGAACCTGGTGAAGATCAGGAGGACTGGTGCTACGGTACCAAGGCTGACCAGGGGTTCGAGCACAAGTACTACTGTGGGGCGTGCGAGCGTCTGATGAGGGACCCCGTACAAACAGAGTGCGGCCACCGCTTCTGCCAGGAATGTCACCGTGCCCTCTTGTGAGTTGCAACTGGGTTTTCACAAGGCATCTCCTGGTGCCCATTTCACAGGGAGTTGGGCAGAGCATGGGGCACAGCCACCCGTATGGCACTGTTCAGAGAGATTTGGCACGACTGGTTGGGGGAGGGAGGCTAAGACTTGGAGGAGACCATTCAGTCTGTCTGGTCTTTACTTTCAGCCCACTTCTGAAGAAGGATCTGAATAAGAACACTCTCTCTCTCTCTGCCTCTGTCCCTCTGTCATACACACACTCTCTCTCTCTGTCCCTCTCTCTGTCTCACTCTCTCACACACACTCTCTCTGTCTCTCTCTTTCTCTCTCATACACAGACACACACACACAGACTCTGTCCCTCTCTCTCTGTCCCTCTCTCTGTCTCTCACACACAGACACACTCACTCAATCTCTCTCACACACACACAGATGCACACACTCTCTCTGTCCCTCTCACAGACACACTCACTCACTCTCTCTCTCTCACACACACAGACACACACACACTCTCTCTGTCCCTCTCACACACAGACACACTCACTCACTCTCTCTCTCGCTCTCTCTCTCTCTCACACACACATTCTCTCTGTCCCTCTCTCACATACACACTGTCTCTCTCTGTCTCTCTCTTTCATACACACAAACACACACACACATAGTCTCTATCTTTGTCTCTCTCTCTCTCTCTGTCTCTATGTCACTCTCTCCACAGTTGCTGGAGTTTCTCCAGCAGTTTCCACTCCAGATTCCCATCATTTCTGTCTTTTATTTTGTTTTACTTTACCTTAAATCATGTTCCCTCTGAACCTCAAATCCAGTTTTCTTCTTCCTTTAAACCTTAAGCTCCTATTTTTTTAAGAAAAATCCATCAAGTCGATTTTCAAATCTCCAGTTGGCTCCCAACGTTTGGACTGGTTTATTGCTTTTTAGTGTGGGGAGAGGGGAGATTGTGGAGAAAAGGGGTTAATTGAATGAGTTGCTGGTTTCTGTGACCACCATTGTGTGACCAAGTAGCCTCCCTGATATTGCCCTGGAAGGAAAGTCTTTCAAAAAATTATGAAAAAACTCAGCATATTTGACAGCACCAGAGGAGAGGGGAAGACTATTAGCATTTCCAATCCAAAACTGTCTCTTTCTTGGAAGCCATGGAGAAGAGATTAAATTGTTTTTTAACCAACCTGTTCAGAAATGTTACTGCACACCTCTGGAGCAGGTGGGACTTAAACCCAGGCCTCCTGGTCCAGGGGCAGGGACACTACTGCTATGGCACAGGAGGAGGCCTCACATGCTGCCACTCGAATGTGACACGGTCTCGTTCTCTTGACATCTTTGAATTGTTAAACAGCTCAATCAATTCTTCTTCTTCACATTCCGCTTAAGCAGTGGCTCCATTTGATCATGCGTTTTGCCACTGAGGATGTGTGTACAGGACCCAGTGTCGGGTCAAAAACAGAAGTTGCTGGAAAAGCTCAGCAGGGTCTGGCAGCGTCTGTGAAGGAAAAGAAAACAGAGTTAACGTTTTGGGTCCGGTGACCCTTCCTCAGAATTTTACCCAGTGTAGGGAGTTCAGCCCCACACGCAGTTTGCCTTTCCCTGAGGCAGTGCTGAGGTCATCCCATTTTGGTGGGAAGCGCAGCAAGATGGACAATTTTTTGAACAGTGAAAAATTGCAGCACACTGCTGTGCAGAGGGATCTGGGGGTCTGTTTGCATGAATCACAAAAAGTTGGTTTGCAGATGCAGCAGGTAGTTAAGGAGGCAAATGGAGTATTGTCCTCCATTTGCTAGAGGGATGGAGTTTATAAACAGGGAGGTTACGTTACAGCTGTGTAGGGGGCTGGTGAGACCACACCTAGAATACTGTGTACTGTTCTGGTCTCCTTACTTGAGAAAGGATGTACTGGCACTGGCAGTGCAGAGGAGATTCACGATGTTGATTCAGGAGTTGAGAGGGTTGACTTATAAGGAGAGATTTTGAGTAGACCGGGACTGTACCCATTGGAATTTAGAAGAATGAGGGGGGAGTCTAATAGAAACATATAGAACTATGAAAGAAATGGATAGGGTAGAAGCAGGGAGACTGTTTCCACTAGTAGGTGGATCTAGAACGACGGGGCATAGCCTCAAAATAAGGGGGAGCAGGTTTAGGACTGAGTTGAGGAACTTCTTCACCCAAAGGGTTGTGAATCTGTGGAATTCCCTGCCCAGTGAAGCAGTGGAGGCTTCCTCAATGAATGTTTTAAGGCAAAGGTAGATTATTGACCAGTAAAGGAATTAAGGGTTATGGTGAGAGGGTGGGTAAGTGGAGCTGAGTCCACAAGAAGATCAGCCATGATCCTATTGAATGGCGGAGCAGGCTCAAGGGGCCGAATGGCCTACTCCTGCTCCTGGTTCTTATGCTCACCAGAGGAGATGTTAATCTCCACCACCCTGCCTGGTGTCTGAGCTGGAGCTAAAATCTCCTGTGGCTCTTCGTTCGAGCAAACAAGATCAGAGGAATCTCCTCCCAATTGTCAATTACTCTTTGATCAACATTGTTCCCAACCCACTGCCATTGGCGGGGGCTTGCTGTGTGCAGATTGGTTCCTTACACTCGGACAGCGACTGCACTCCCTGAGAGGGGCAGAAGAACTGTTGTGAGATTTTAGGACGTTGGTGGCTTTTAAGAAACGCAATTCCCTTCTCTTTCTCTAACCGGGCTGGAGCGGTTCTCAGGCCTGGTGTTGAGTGCTCACAATGTGCCCTCCTGAGGACAGGCATGAAGATCCCACACAGCAAGGTCCTGAAGGGGTTTACCCCTGTCCTGACTCCATCTCCTTGGTCGTACAGCATGTTGGGTGTAGTATTTGCTGAGCACAGAGCTGGCACAAACTCAAGAATGCCAGAGGATCACAACAAATGTACACTGCAGGAGAAATCAGCATTGGTCAGCTCTGAATGGCTGGGCTGTTGTCGCGAAGGAGGCTACCGGCTCCTCCAGTATAAATTGCAGAAGGTGTCCCTTTTGTTTGCGGAGAACGAAGGCCTCTTGCTTGTCAATGTCATCGAGAATGAGCTGCGTTGCCAGCTCGGGTGTGTTGCCTGAAATTGTTTCTGCTGGCTACGAACTGAGGGGTGACTCGGGGAGCGCAGTCCCAGTGAGAGAGCTGCTCCCCAGGGTGGGCGAGCTGTTTGTATTTTGCGAACGCGGGCTGGTCGAGCAGGGTCTGCCCCCGTCGCGGGCTGGGCACAGCACACTATTTCACTCAACCTGCCAGTTGCCAGAGCTCATTAGTTCTGAGGAAGGGTCACCGGACCCGAGACTCCGTTGTTTTCTCCTTCACAGATGCTGCCAGACCTGCTGAGCTCTTCCAGCAACTTCTGCTTTTGTACTGGAGCTCATTGCCTGGCATCAGACTGGCACCGGACTTGAGCACCATGGATGCTGCCATCAGTTTGGTGCGATGTTGTGTAGGCTGTGGAGCTGAACAGAGTCAGGCAGTAATCTCAGAGTCAGTGGGGACGGGGAAGCACAGTTATCATTGCAGTTCTGAAATTCTAGCTCTCCAGAAATGACCTTGATATTTATCTCCCGTGTGTGATGCCAATGTGGCGAGAGCAAATGGTTGGGTTGAATTAACCCCCGAATTAAAACGCTTTCTCCCCCACCCCCCCTTCCTCCAACAGGAAAGAATCTGTAATCTGCCCGTCCTGCTTACGAGATAACGGAATAGTTGAGAACGGTCGGTGTGCCACGCTAGAGAAGGTAAGTATGCGTTTTCTGTACGCCCAGGTACATACATGTTCAGCTCAAGACATGCCAGCGATTGGCTGGAAATTCCGAAAGACCTGCAAGAGGTTCTCACGCTTCACGTGCTGGGTTTAAACACGACTCTGCGGCTTCATGATCGCCCCCGCCTGCTTTTACGTAGTTGACGTTTTTAAACATAAATATCAGCAGAAGTCCCTTGGACGGGTTCATTTCATGTGTGCTGTGAATCGGCCGTGACCCAATGCTAATTGCATCAGGAACACACGTAGTTACGTACAGATCGGGAGCAGGCCATTCAGCCCTTCAGGCTTGCTACACCATTCAATTGGCCCTTAGCCGATGAGAGTGTGACTGGAACTCCAAGCTCTTGCCTATCTCACTCACACACACACACACATACAGGGACACACATGGGGGAGAGACACAGGGGGCACACAGACAGACACACACACATATATATAGACAGGCACAGACACTCGCACATAGAGGGACACACATGGGGGAAAAGACACGGGGGCACACAGACACACACACACATACAGACAGGCACAGACTCTTGCACAGAGGGATACACATGGGGGAAGAGACACAGAGGACACACACACACATATAGACAGGCACAGACACTCGCACATAGAGGCACATACATGGGAGAGAGACACAGGGGGCACACACACACACACACACACACACACACACACACACAGACATTTAGACAGGCACAGACTCACTCTCTCTCTCACACACACACACACACACACAAAGAGGGA